AATTATTACGATTTAAGGAGCATAAACCTTCTTTACAAATTTTAAGCTTTTTGAAATTTCACTGTGACATGGCCTCATACATCAGGCATGTATAGATTCTTACTAGCAAACCCCGGCAGTCAAATTCTTTCTAACAGACAGTCAACAAATTCCAAGTTTAACCCTCCTCTTGAGGGTCAAAAGGGTATATCCGAACATTACTCTTCGCTGTCAGCAGAAGGGACATTTCATGGTCGCTTTCAATAAAGCATAAAAATGCTAGGTCACGCTGCAAACAAAAAAGTTTTTCAATCGTCCGTCAGACCATGTCCTCAGAAATCGCTCTAAAATCTGCCTCTGATGCCCATCTGACCTTTGACTGTGACCTTCCAATTTCGAGCACCAGTAATGGCTTTCCTACCATGATTGCTATACACCGACTATCACGAGCCTAAGGTCGGCCGTTTAGATTTGTGCCGCATTCTGCATTTTCCTCCCTTATACCTTAAGTTAAGGGAGCTGAATGTTCCCTGGCTTCTTTCACACCTCTTGACCTTTTAGACTTTGACCCCAGCTTCTGAGCATCCAACTCGTTTTGGACGATCCCCCCAACGACCGAATATCGTGACCGTACAGTCGGAGCGATTTAAGATTTGTGCCCAACTGTTGACGGAACGCACGGCAATGGGACGCTCGGACGGTGGCACGGCGGCGATCATGCGATTCTACAAAGCTGCATCTGACTATTCAGATGGAGCTAAAAAGGGAGGGAGGGGAAGGAAGGAGAAAGAGAGAGACAGAAAAAATCGAAAGGAAAGAGGAGGTGACGAAAGAGGGAGAGAGAGAGCGAGAGAGAGAGAGAGAGGAGAGAATGGAGATCTGAGACAGAGCACGAGAGAGAGAGACGAGGAGTGAGCGTGGGACTGAGAAGGAGGGAGAGGGAGAGATCAAGAGAGAAGGCAATGGAATTTTATTGTTCAATACGTGAGCGCAGTGAAATTTTAGTCAACAATCAACATAATATATATCTATACAAGGTTACATATAGGATTAAATATTATTTTACTCTGAAGTAAAATAAAAAATACATAATATATATATATTATAATATATATATATATACACTTAACTTACTGCCTATCTTCACTATAATCTTGACTATAATTGAGCGAATGTTGTAATGCTATGTTAATGAAAGGCGCTTTCCGGTTTTTTCAGTTTGGATCCAAATAGCCGCACAATTTACAGAACAAGATCGATGAGTACACGCGGACGTGTTGTAAACTCATAACTCCGTTGCAAACGCGTTTGTTTCTCAGTCTTAAAAGACAAAAACACAAAAAAGGTAAACATTTGCCTGAAAATAGGGGGCGCTGTTTTCGTTTACGTTCTGCTTTTGTATTTCGTTTGCTTAGGTTTCAACCATTTTCCAATTTCGTAGTTGTTCTGTGTATCTCTGTTTCTGAATGTCTGTTGTCTTGAGATTTGTGTTAAGCCCCATAATGTAAGTAGAAATAACCGTAATAATGAAGTTAATATTCAGTAGCGATTAGTATTAGTCCATGTTTCCCATATGAGATGTAGGCCTACAAGTGATCTTCATTAGTGCAGATTTTTTTGGGAAGTCTGCAATGCTGTACAGTGTACGAGGTGCCGTGGACACCGATCTGCTCCAAGCGGTCCGATCACAAGCAACGTAATATTACAGTCGTCCGCACAGGTGAAAACATGCGTTAGAAGTAAGCGATCACAACCAACGCAATTATTACCTGCGTCCGCACAGTTTGGAAACATGTGAAGCACGTATATTACCCGTTTACATTTATACCATTCACATCTATCTATATTCTAACTTTTGGGAGTCCGTATCATCAACCATACATAGATTACAATAAAACGTTTCTTGTGTGGGTGTGTGTATTTCACTGTGTACTTGCCAAACAAATGGTTAATGTGTTACGTGTAAGCTTGATTGCACATGTATTTGTATTTGACTTTCTCAACCATAAAAAACAAAACATGTGCAACCAACTTAACTCTCCATACTAATACCTATCACATAACCTTACTGCCCACTGGTAACAACATGCATCACAGTCACTAAAGCCGCGCGTAGCGCGGGTTCAGCTAGTTTACACAATATCTCAAAGGCCAACGTGCGACGACACGGTGCTCGCCACACGGCCTTTGCCATGTTACACTGCGTGAACTGACAGTCCCTGTTACCACTGCAGCCAATATTTACAAGTAGGAGTAAAGATAAGAATTGCTCCACTTATCCCGACTACTATCAGCCCTTCGGCTTTCCCTGCGGTGGTCACATGATCAATGAGAAACATGTCTACTTACAAGAA